TATATATATTATGCGTTATATTTAATAATAAGCATTTCAGTCACTATCACAGTTTACACCTACCTGCCTCTGAAGCTTGCTGTGGAACTCATAGAAGTCTGAATATCGACGAAACACGCACCACTTGGCCTCCATCTGATTGGGTTCGAGTTTCGTCACGGAAATCGCATACAGTGCGTAAGTCGACGCACCACGTCGCACAATTCCCGTATTGTAAATAGCTGCGCAAAGGTAGCTTTCTGCCGCCGCGCTGTCGCCTGTTAGCGGCAGCGTTGGCGCTGTTGCGCTTCCTGCCAACAGTTCGTCTGGTGGTGGCGTCAAGAATTCGACCTCGTCGCTGCCTGGTTCTAAACTATTAAGGCTGGCTGAATCGTCTCCGCTGCCGTACGAGCAAATGCCAAGCGATAATCCCACGGAATCTAGATCTTCGTCCGATTTAAGGCTAGGCTCGCGCGGCTCTGTTATTAACTCGAGTTCGATGAGCAGTCGTATATAATAGGAACTCTTTTTGAATGCGCCGAAGAACTTTGCTTCTTGCATTTGTTCCACAACCTGCATAGTACGTTGCATTCGTATAATTAAGTACGTTATCATTTTTGTATTCTTGAACAATGTTTTGCACAGCGCATTTTTCTTAAAAAAGCCCATGTCCAATTCGTGTAGATCGTAGGTAGTGCTAGTAGGTTGAGATGAACACCACATATATATATACTACACTATTTCATTTCCGGCAAGTATACATGGTAGCAGATGCCCCTGATACCTATTGTTTAAGTACTTCCATAATTTTACGTTTGAATCGGCTCGATTTTACCACCAAACTCGATTTCTCTTCAGAGCGAAGTCATTCTTTCGCCTGGTCCTTCTCCTGCTTGTGATAAAAATTGAACCATGCGTCGTCTGTGACGATCGCATACTCCTTGCTTAATGTTTTTGGCAATCTTCGATGAATTTCCACAATGTTATGGCTCTCGGCGGAACCCAAATATTAGCCCCGATTCGGTGAAACTAAAAGATGCTTCTTTTCTAAATTTCTGGAGTAATCTTAACCGATTTTCTGTCAAAGCTTGCCAGAAGATTGGAATATTTAGCAACCAAAATTAATCTACCGGATTCTGCCGGATCTGAGTCCACCAGATTTTCTTGTAATAACCTAACATTAAGTTCGTGAAAAAATGTAGGCTTCTTCAACTGCTACCTTCCCATTTTGGTTAACTGCTACATACCATTTGGAACCAGCGTAAAAAAAAGTATTTTTTACACCTACTTTGTTTCACCTTTTGTCTAGGTCAAAAAAAATAACGAGCTCGAAATAAGTATGTCATGTGTGGATGCCATGCCCAAGAGTCTTGCTCAAATGTGGTCTGGACCTGGAAGATGGCCTGGCTGCGGCCAACAAACAATTCATTAACTGGCAGACAAGATAAGCTGCAAAACTCCAATACCATCGAGATAAAGTATGAGGTCTTATCAATGACTGAAGCCTGGATGCTCCATGAGCACTGTAAAGAGCACGGAAAATATGGCTTCTTGGTGTCCCTTAACATATCGTTTGCAACCGAATTACACGTAGTCAGAATAACAGATTCCGACTCGAAAATTATTATGGACGACAAAATGATGCCTCTACGACTATTAGACGCAGAAAAAAAAATAGCTCTAAGAGCTAACACAAAAGCCAAAGCTTGACTAATACATACTAGCATGACTAATACATAGACGTATATGCGTATTTTTGTATTACAAATATAAAAACAAACCTGAGGCGCAATTTAGATGTAGCTTTTTAATGAAGCATAATCTGACTTACAACCCACTTAAAACAGTGGGCCATAATAGAAGTGTTTAGGGAAAAGATCTTTCCTTTATTTAACCTTATCTATCGTTTAGTAGATGTCATTGGTGTGGCTTGAACCAGCAATACCTCGTTTTCTCGGACAGAAGTTTACAAAGAAGGAATACGAGTGCATTAGAGATGTATAGGACGCCAACACGGCCAGTATGACTGAATCTCACAGAATGTGAAGATGATTTTTTATCTTTCTGTGCATATCACTAACCGCTAAGAAAATAAATCTGCACCGTCCTTCAATGGAAACAGATTCAGAGTCAACCTATTTGGTCAAAAAGTTTGGGTTTTACATTATTTACTGAGAAATTAAATATTTTTCATATTGAGCACGAAAGTGATAATTCGAATCTGAGCAGACTAACTCTGCAGTAACTGTTGTCGACAGGCTAATCGTGACAGCGAAATACACCGAACCTATGTTTGAGTTGCTTTAACCTAAGTGACTGAAAAGGTTGGACCAGAAAGCCAAAACTGCCGATTTGAACAATTTGAAGCTTCTTCTATACAAAATGATAGTAGGTTTGCCGAGAGATATATGCCTTGCTGTTCACTACAAATTACCACACAGCTTCTTTTTGTCATGGTTTTACCTTTCCAAAAAGATGCAATCAGAAACTTACTTAATTCATGTTGATTTGGGCAATTAGGCAATATTAAGTGCTCAGCATAGTGGACGAACCAATGATCATTCTTCCTTCGGAGTTTTACATCCGCAGCAAAGGTTTGTCAATGAAGAATGGAAGGCAGCTGGCTGCTTTTTATTTAAGGAAGGTAAGGAAAAAAAAGTCTTTGGCTTTAGCATCTTGACAGAATATCTGTTTGACTTTGCTGATCTAAAGGTATACCTAAAGTTATTGTGCTCTGTAATGCACGCGCTTCAACAAAATGCCTCTAACTTCTGATTCGTGAAAATCAACATCAACATGGTCATATGTACATTCGTTTTTAGGAGTTCTTTAGATTATTTAAATACACCCATCGTAGATTAATCGGGTTGGCTGATAGGAGCTTTCTTTGACTTCGCGGCTACACAACAACTGTATCAACCGTTGATTTTCGGCAGTCTTTCAAGTCAATAACTTCGGTTGAGACCTGTTGAATAAGCTAGCGAACTCTCGTCGGTAGAATAGTCCATTCAAAAGGTAAAACTAAAGACAAGGTGTCTTTGCTGTCCATAAAAAACATTCTTCCTACTTAACTTAAAGATGGGCTTTATCTCAATATAACATCGACTTTCCCGTCTCATCTCATAAAGCCAATATTTACTTAATGCGCTCTGGAAATATACCACATACCGGAGGATACGCTCGTAGATCTACTGTGAGCAACTGCACTTTTTCGAAGGGCATTTTAATATATAACTTTCGTTTAAACACAAATGGTGTCATTTCTACATATTTTGTACAGCATTGTGGGACTTTAGCCGACATTTTCTTACTTCAGTACTCGACAAAATTGCATCTTTCTCTGTCCCTGGTCCTACGTCAATATTTGCCTCACTATTATTTTTTTTTTCATTCGAGAAAAGGTTTGAAGAGAATATTTTCTACCGGTGTTTTGTTTCTTATTTTTACTTCAACTTTATGATTTTCATCACGCACTCGAATATTGCTGTCCAGCCCTCTTTACTTTGGGGCATCTGGTTCATCATGGCGTCGGTTCCAGACGGGCGGCCCAGTTTGCTTCCGACTTTTGCCTTTCTTTCCATGAAGAATGTACACTGGTCTAGTGTGTGAGTCACTTAGTGATACATACCAGCCTTACCATGAGGCGCAAGTCGTTTATCGACTTTCCTATTCGCAGAAGACATTCGGAGGAAACATCCGTGGGCGGTGAGAACCTAAGCCAAGCAGTGGGTCACTTCTTTGAAATCCATTCCACACTAATATTTGATATTCTAGTATTATCCTTTCTGTCCAAAACTATACTGTCGTGCTAATATTTTCGAAAAGCCTTACACTTTATACACTTTCGAAGGGTTCTCCCTATCCATCCATCAGGTGGCGTCGAAGCTTTATATATTTCTTCTCCCTTCTCAGCCTCAGTGTCTTAAATCACCGTTGTACTCATGTCCGCAGCGACGGGGATCAAGACACCACCGAACACTTATACGGAGCGTGAATATCCGCTTAAATCTATTTCTTTTGTTTCATCCGCCCGAGGGCTGCGTTGGAGACTGTAAATTTCGCTACTGAGGCAAATAGCCTCTTTACCCCTAACTTACCGCATCAACCCGCTAAGGCCCAGTTGGGGGACATGGCGAGTCCCAGTTGGACCCTTATCAAGCCTCATTCCTAAGTATCAGACAGTCAGGCAATGATCACCAAGGCCAAATTGCCCTCATTCGGTACTATCCATAGTTATTCAGCATAAGTGGTCTAAGCATCAGGTAGTTCACGAGATTTTACAAGGCTGGTCGCGTTATAAAGATTTGTATAAAGCCATCACTTCATACCGGGATCTTTCAAGCACTTAAGCAGCTGGCAATAATGCGTCAGGGATATGGGAATATCTTCTTCCGTTCCACGGTGTCCAAAATCAAGTCTCAGTTTATAGAATCGAAGGCGTTTTTACGTTCAAAGGAATAGCGAAATAGAGACCCTGGTACTTTACGTCTTTCGGTGTTTCTTTAAGCCGTGCTTTTGAATAAATCCTACGGGCAAAGGAATCCACCAACCCCTCCTAAACTTAAACTTTTTCCTGCAAGTAGTATTTTCCGTCACCTCGCTATTTAGCATTTTTTATTAAAAAAAAAAGTTAAGAAAAATAAAACTCACTATACTGAGGAGGCAGAACAGCTTGTGCGAACCCCATTGTCCAATAGGCTTTAACGTCAGTACCAGCCTAGCCTATTTTTATTCTTTCAAAAAATAACCTCTAACCAAAAGTAAAGTAGAAGGATTTTTGTGGCTATTTATCCAGCTATATTTCCATTTCATTGGCTAGAAAGTGCTTCACAGTCTCTGGCTGTATTTCATCTAGTTGTGTGGCTTTTCGCACCACTACTTTCGCATCCGCCATTAATTTTCTGGGTCAACTCAGCACCGCCGTAAGCCCCGACCGATTCCCGCTCCTTTTATCCTCAATACTTCGGTTCTTTTATTGTTTACTGTTCCAGTCGATTTAGAAGTTCAAGCAGTGCAAACAAGCAGCAAAACTAGAAATTTTTGCTACGGAGTTTTCTAGCTTTCACGCCCTCTTTGCTTTCCAATATCTATGCCTTCGCTTACAGAATTGATTTTTCGATTACAGAATATGCTGAAGTATTTGCAGCCTTGCAAGCGACCTCCAGTATATATATATATATATATATATATATATCACTTTCCCGTGTTCCGGGACGTTTTGCAGCACACGGAGTCCTTGTTAACCGCGTCGTTTAGCAATTCCTTCTTCAACTTCTTCAAATCCTAATCAAAACTTACTTTATTTCTGCTTAGTGAAAGCTCCATTTCGACTCACTATCTGCTTCACCTTAACTTCGTAGATTAAGTTCCTATGACAGCTAAATGTTCTCAGCTTACCTGCGACAAAGATTTTCCCTGGCCAACTAAGGGCTTCAGGTTGCTCTCTTGCCTCTGCGCCTTTCCCCGATTTTAGGAGTGTTGGTCGACAGATTTATGACTTGAGTATAAACTCCTCACTGATCCATCGTTTAATGTGCAAATTTATATCTTCTGTAATATTAGAATTCGCACCTTTATAGGGCTTTCGGTTACTCTCTCGTTTTTCTTGTTTTTTAGGTCACGTTTCCCACTGTGAAAATTCTCTTCCTTTGTGAGAAAAATGTCATACAAAGGTTTCGCGCCAGTACGCAAAACTATGCGATTTGCGCAAAACTGCTTTATAGTAATAGCCTAGCTGTCGCCTTGGCCATTACCCGGACAACATCTGTAGCATCTTACCCCTAATTTCAGGCCCATACAGGTAGTCTTCTGTCTCTTTGCGTAAAAGATGAGTCAAGAACATAAAGCAAAGATACATTTGCCCGGGATCTTAGCGTAATGCCAGTTTATCAGTGGGTATCAGAACAAGGTAGCAGGCTTGAGACTTGTCTTCTTCTGGGACACGGCTATGAAAATGCATGAAAAGATATAAAATAAGGAGATGTTTAATACTGCCAGTAGATATTGTTTCTGACGTATGATAGAGTATATACAGTATCTACCAGGACGCTGTATTTTAACGTCGCCCATGTTATCATCGTCTACCCACCATCTACATTTTTCAATATTTTAAACCGGTTAACGCTTGCCGGTATATGAGGCGCATGAGTTAGTAAGTTTTTACTATGCTGGTCGGCTAACCATTTTTTATACATAATTAGGGTGTTAGTTATCGTTCATGTATAACATTCCCTACACGTTATGTCCTTAGCGGTATAAATATTGAATCTGCTTTATGTACTTTGGACTCTATACGCAAATCCGATAAAGAAACTTGTGAATAGATAATAATGTATTCTCTGCAACGGAATCGATATCTGTTACGCAGGATTCGAAAAAATGATATTTTTAGTTAGCGAGCAATGAAGCAAACTAAAAAATAAAAATTGCTTTTTTGCGAAATGATTGGTCTTTTTTTTATCCCTGAATTGTTTACTATATTGTTCATCAATTATTATATCTCCTAATTAATAATCCTCGTAATTCACTTGCATCTTTCAGAATATTAATTAAACTATTTCATATAACGATAGGTGTGTTTACAAGCTATCAGTAGCAAGGTGTATTTTGAATGTGTCGAGATCGAATCAGTTCTGATTAGTGTTTAATAGTGGTTAGTGTAAGGAAAGCAAGAGGAAGATGGAGAGGTGTCTGAGCCTGTGTGTCAACAGTCGCTAAACGAAAATTGCCTGAAATAATCACCTGCCTTTGACATTCTAATGATAAACCTCAAAATGATTTGGGCAAAACCAGCTAACATCTCGTTAACGCCAGGTAATGTTTCGTGTCTTGCGCCCGCAATTGCCTTTAGATACTGATATCAGACATACTACTATAATACTACTAAAACTGATCGCATTCCTGTAAAATGATCACTTTAACCTAATTAATTTTCCTTGGCAGAGCTTTCCGCCAGGAAAAATTACCCATGCTATTGAATTGATTTGTTCCCCTGAGGGCATTAGATATATACATTCACATAAAAAAAACAGGCGACGTGAACATTTATAAAAAAAACAGGGTATCGTGCAAATCCCCGCGATGGAAAAGTAATAACGGGTTTACGTATTAAACGTGCTGGTTAAAATACGAAAGCGGGCGTGGACATACTTCGCTTTGTGCACGGAAACAACTGCCTGGACTAGTGCTTAAAGCTAGTACTAGACGTAAAACTGCAACGGGATAACTGTTAGCGTGCAACCACGCTGCAATTCATGTTAGGCAGAGCGTATAACGTAAATTAATCAGATTGCTTAAACAAATCAAAGGCACAGCAAAGCCTGTGGATTCAGAACACAGTCGATACACGCGTTTTCTGGTGTTGAAACACTCGAGTACTACAATAACTATAGAACGCCAAATATGACGCAAAACTATTTGTCCAAATTATATTGTGTCACAGGCTATTCGGTGTTATGCAACAAAATAACTGTAGGCGCGTACCCAAGCTATAGTACACGTTAGCGAATCATTAATGTCAAAACAAGAATCTAGTATCTTAGGCAAATCGTACTAACCTCTGCCTGTACGTCATCAAACCAATTCATGTTAAACTTTTCAGCTGAAAAGCGTTTTACAAATTTCCTTATATGCTTCTGGTCCACTGGTATTCGAGGAGACGCCTGTAAGGGTTTGATTTGTTATTTACTTCTAATTACTTACAAATTATAAAGGCTTACTGATATATATATTACAGTATATAATACATTATAGCACAAATGTATTGTTGAACGTATGAACTCAGAAAATTTTAAGATCGGTAGACCCGAATGGGCAAATTACCCAACGACGGCACTGCGGTGCATGACGCCGCATGCTGTCTAAAGCATATTGCACCACATCTTGTGCAGATGCATCTGGGTTTTAGCAAATACAGACCTACTGTTTCATACATTTTATGTACTGTAATTTATAATCTATGTACTGCAAAACGTGTAACTTTGCGCCGGTTTATTTTAATCAGTCTTTTCAGGCTTTATTATTTATAGCCCCCGTTTTGTATGATCAGTATCGATCTATGCTATCTATTTATGTTATGTCCTAACGAGTAGCCGAGTAGGCGGAGGTGACAGGGAGCTTAAATCTGCGTTTAAAATTCTACAAATTGCGGCGTATTGGCTAGAAGAGACACATCTGCTCAACGATGAACGAGCAGGCCCATGGTGCGTTTTAAAACGAATGAGCTGCTTCGATGAAAGACGTTCCCAAATAATTTCGATTGGATAGGCAGCAACAGGGGCTATTTTTGTTTCCAGCAGGGCCAGTGCGGTGTGCAAGGAAAGTTTGAAGAGTGTACGTATTCTCGCATTCACAACCACCGCTTGCTGCACTCTGTGATGTCCTCTGACAAGGTTTGACCGTTCATGGACGAGATCACTCGCAGTTGGCCTGAAGCTAAAGTTGTTGTGTCCATGAGCTACGAGTCGGAGGCATACAGAAATGCGCTCACCAAATTTTTCTGTGATATCACCCTAATTATATGCAGTATTCTCTGTGAAACTCCGCATTCTGCAAACTTGTTAAGAATTTTGTTTCTGAATGCCATATGGAACGTCGATTTAAAGTTTACGAGTAAAACGAAGAGCGCCTGTTTTTGTCTGCAACAATTACAGCGCATTACACCTCCTAATGCAGTATGTAACACACCATGGAAATGGAACGTCCTATACGAAATCCATGCTGTTCAGCCGGAATACATAAACAATCGTTTAGGAAACTGTTTAGCCGACGTGCGGTGAAATGATCCAGAAGCTTGCAACAACAAGTTTTCTCTGCGACTGCTCCTTATGAGGACAGGTCAAGCGGATTGTTTTTTCCTTTAAGTATGACACTTAAGTGGGCTTCACTCCAGCTTGTCGGCAGGCTTCCATGTCGTAACTAAGCGCTGCTTGCTGAGCAGCTTCATTCATCTGTTCAGCGAGAAAACATGTCAGACGCAGCTTTGAGTACTCGCTGTGGATTGGATTCGGTCCAGCCGCCCTTTTTAATTTGAATGATTTCAAAAAGTCGTAGTGGAAAACCCTGCCCTCAGCTTCTCGCTCACCGTAAGTGTTTGTTTCTCCCATGCAAAGGAAGACCACTTTCCACCGTGCAAAGGCGCAACATGTGCGGTGACGTTTACTGCTGAGAATATACTTGTTAAGTGTATTATTATCTCTGAAAAGTTTATAAGGCATGGCATTAATTTTCTTCCGCACACGCTTGTACGGTTCCCTTCCATCTTGTATTATTTACCTGTTAAGTGCAAAGTACTGTTGACTCAAGAATTCACCAATACAAGCTTTAGTCATCTACGGAGCACTTTCTTATCCGGGTGGCGTTTGGTCAGCTTTCGTGCCAAGCCTACCATAATAGCGGCTGGTTCAGAGCTTACAACTTTTACTGAATTCCGGCACGATCTCGGAACAGCTGTGAAGCTTTTTGGTACTTCCGTCAAAGTTTCATTATAAGCGTTAATGTCCGGATCTAGTGATGTCGGGGGCAAAATTGCCAATTTGGGGCCTACCTCGGCCGAATCAAGCACCTAAGGTAATCCGACGTTTCTTTTTTTTTTTATATACTTATTTTTCACTAGAAGAGAAGCTGAAATTTAACCGATTCCTCCTACTTTAAAGCGTTTCCCTCCCTTAACGGATCGTTTCTTTTAATGTATCGGTCCTTTCTGGCATTCAGTGCTTGCAAATTGGATGCGAATATGTCGATTACTAATCTTTTTATATAACCTCTAAACGCTGGCATTGCTACCGGGGAGTAGGTAACACCGGAAGTCACTGAGCAGACTTAGTAGTGGCCAGCTACGCAGTTTATTCATTTGTCAATGCTGTTGCTTAAATCGCCAGAAAGCACCAATGAATAGCCAGTAAAGATAGTGTGTAGCACGAGCGATCCTTTTGATCAGCATAGCTTTCTTTTTTGCTACTGAGAGACCAAATATATACTGTTATGATACTACATCTATTGCTTCTCAATAGTACACCATACTTTCCAAATATGGCACAGATTTCGTTTAAAGCTTGTTTGTACTAAAGCGTCATCGCCCAGCACACAAATGTACGGAAAAGTGAGCGCTGTAGAAACCCAAAAACTCTAAAGGCTTTGACTTTCAGGAAAATGGAGACGTCTATTATGGCAAATTATGGTAGCACTGATAAAGCGCGAGTTGCTTCTATATTTTATTATACAATGTGTATTTTCCCAAATTTCCTGGTCTGAATGCGTTTTAAATTATTTCGGCGTCTACGACTCTGGCCTCTATTCGGTGATCGACTCCGAGACCAATTATAACTCTCTCTGAAGGGCGTTTCTAAGTGGTGCTATTTGCTGCGACGGTTCTGGCATCGGTGTAAGAACTGACGACGCTCAAACGGTGATTTCGAAGGTTTACTCGGGTTCATCGCGGTTCTTGGTCCAGCGGCAGTCGCGCTTTTAGTTCGCAGACTCCTAAAGGCTTGGTCGGTAGAACACCTATCGCTTCGCGATTTGCATTTTTCTTAAATTCAGAGTTTTTGACGCTTAAACATTTTTTACAGGATCATTGCTATATTCTTGGCAAATTCTCCTTTGCAGCTGACTTGATCACTTTTGGCTACTTGCCACTGTGTGTATATAGTCATGGGAAGTACAAAGAAAAGCAACCGATCCTGCGTAATTTTTAATCAGACGGTACTGTTGCCTGTCGTGCAGTTAACTGAAAAAAGGTGAACAGGTCAGAATCGTGTCGAATTGTTTTTTGAACTCATCGTCAAAAGCTTCGACCGTCATCCTGATGTACCATTCGATTTCCTCGACTGTGCTGGGTAAGTCTAAATGTCGTTTGTCGATCGATTACGGGAGCCTTTTTAGGGAAGTTTTTTCACAGCAACTTCCACTAATTGCATCACCTTCTCACCTTTACCAACACCTGTTTCTTAGGAGAACGTGTCTTTTCCGCAGCAAATGGTCTTTCTCTATTATGATAACTTGTTGGTCTTTTCGAAAACCGGTCCGGTGGTCAGAAGAGCTTCTCTCTTCTCTGCGAGACCAGCTAACTTTCATTCGAGTTCTAGCATATGATAAAAAATAAACTACACATACTATTGCTTTGGAACCGAGCAATGAACAGGTATCTAAAGAGTTTACGGAACTTTCCATTAAACAATCCGCTGCTTAAACGTTGTACTCTTACATAACTTCAGAGAGTGATCAGCTGATGCATCACTTCCGTAGTCCGCTCTGTAAGTTCCGCGAAACATTCTAGCATACTTCAAGCAGAAAGCTACTACAGGCCGCTTTAAATGCTCTCCTTACACCCCCTACAAGTACCAGAACGGCCGGACATTTTTGAGACAGGGATTGCGCTAGGGACGAGGGGTATTTACTACTATGAGCTAAGGCCTAACTCGTTGCAAGCTCAAATTTGCGAGAAAATAGTGCTTGTTTTTGATGTTGATGTGTTGTACCGGCTTCTTCACTTGTCACAGCTACTTCTCGTTCCGGTTTTAATAGATGGCAAGGTAGGAGACTTCTTCAAATGACAAGGACCGGTCGACGCGTAAGCTACTCAATCATAAGCGCTCGAGGAAGTCGTAAGTAACGGCGCCCAAAGCTTCGTGCACCCCACCCTAGTCAAATAATCAGACTGCTCATAAGCACTCTGAAATATTACTCGCTGTCTACATTAGGCAAAATTCGGAGCGAACGGTACTTGACATAGCTTTTTTAAAGATTCCGTATCTCCGTTCTCGAAAAAGAAAAAGCGGGTGATATACATAGGCTTCAACAAATGACAAGATCATAGTGTGCACTTTTTAAAGAAGAACTAACCACAAAGTCCCGCATTTCATTCCTAGCTAAATCTCTTGATCCTTTTGAATAGCTTAGATTAGTTAAAACTGTTCATCGTGCAGTAACGTCTGGTCTGCACGAATACCATTCCACTATGCAGTATTACGTGCGAAATTTTTCACCTAATAGGTGAAAAAATATAGGTTATAAAAGATATATTATTATAAAAGATAGGTGCTAAAAGAGTCTGATAACTTGAAAAGATTTTGTCAGCTCACATCCCGGATTAACACCTTGATATCTGTGGGATGAGATTATTCTGTTTCTACGATCTTATGAGCTGTATGCAGGATAAGTAGTAACGCATTTTTTCCGGTTATTCCTAAAATTATAGGTAATGCAAAAAATACTATTCTTTCCAATTAGTATTTTTCGACAAAGGTAACACAATGTCTAACTGCAATTCTTTCAAAGCTTACAACGCTTGCCATAGTTGCATTTAATAACGTTTTCCAGTTTAGCAAAACCACGAAAGGAACCAACCCATACCATAATGCTTACTTCATTTTATTTTCCCTAATTTAATCCTCTTTTTCAAAAAAAACTTTAGCCATTATTTGCGTGTCAAGTAAAAATAATAGAAATAATAATAATAACAAATCCCGCTGAAACAAATTTCCTATAAATACTGCAATCTCTTAAAGATTAAAATATATTTCCAAATTTAAAAAAAATATAGCACATATTGTAGGTGTTCTTTTTTTTGTCAACAGCAACTTTACAGGAACTTGCATATCCTGATTATTTGGCATATGCGGAACAATGTGAATTTGCAAAAAAAGATTTACAAAAATTCAGAAAAACCTTTGTAAAAAAATATAGTATTAAGAAAAATATTAAAAAATAATAAAATACCCACTGGTATACATTGCTTTTGCTTTGTGATTAGGTATGTAAGCACATCTACTACGTAACCGTGGCGATCCGCTCAATTTTGAGTTATATATAGTAGTAAGAAACGCCAGAATATGTACTCGCTATGAAAGTGTATGTCATATGGAAGTGATGAAAAATTCGAACGAGAACCTTTACAAACATCTTTTTATTGCAAACATAGCTTTGCTAAAAAGTGATGCACTCGTCTTAAGAAAGGGGACTTATCGCTTCACGGATAGCTACTACCTGGACGTGTTATATTATTGTAACAATTTATAGAAGCGCACTAACGGCTGTCTAGGATATAATTTACGTTTAGATAAGTGAAAGTTGAGAGCATTTTTGGTATATTAAATAAGATGTTTCGCATCCAATGCCAAGGAATTCCGAAGTCTTAGGATTTTTGAGTACCTTGCGAGTGTATCGATCGCTATTAGTGTCATGTGTAGTGCCGTATGATCAAATTCTGAATATATTGATCAGCCTTTTTTTGCGCACAGTCGTAAGCAAGACGGACCCTTAATTCAAACATAACCAAAAAGTATTCGTTGCTTGCGACGATTGGCGCTTATTCAACAAGAATACTTTTTCATCATGGTAATTTTAAACATTTATTACATAAACGCCAAAACTGGACTGGGTGTTCCATCCAATCCATTAAACAAACCTAAGTTCACTCCGTAAGATTATCCTAATCGCTTTCCGAAAAATTATTTTACTGGAGAACAATCAATTAAAAATATTTATAAACCCGAAACTGTAAACATAGGTTAAAATTTGACTGCTAGTTACCAGGATCACACAACTTTTTTTTACAATGTCCACTTAAGAAAAAATTGTGGAAAAACTCTCTCTTCTGCAGCAATCTACGTAATGTCATTATCCCACGCTTATGATTCACGTAAACTTGCCATGGATTTGACTAAGATAAGGCACGAATATAATTACAGTAGTACATATTTGACGTTCTCTATTGTCTAGCATACGTGCACATATTTGCACTGAGTAGGTCAGCTTATTGGAGACGGCGTGGTGTAGGTGACTAACACGCATCTACTTATTAAGACTAATACTATCTATTAGGAAAAGCGCTATCTGGTAAAATTTAATTGGGTAATGAAATTCATTAATTGGAGAAAGCTTTTGATGCTAGACCTAAAAAGATGTAATTCTAACAACTTATTCACATTGCAAAAAATAACGAAAAACGTTAAAATAAGAAAGTTGTGAATTAATTTAAGAATGTTGTATGAACGTTGATTAAGAGTATTTACACGTAATATATATTGGTGTTTCTAAGTAAGTGCCTGCAATTCCATGTAAAATGGAATATTAGGCTTGCAGTTCCAGGTTTCCTGTACTGTCGCCCAGTATAATATTCTTATTTAGCATAGGATATGCATGATCTTGAAAATGTTTAAAAACAAATTATAAGATAAACCTCGAAGCGATGTAAGGTACTCTGCTAATACATTTTTTCTTATCAATTTCCCATCTTCCTGCAGACACTGATGTTTTACAGCCCCAATTTCTTAATAATGAAGGCTTCATAATCGCAGTTCTGCAATATGCTTAACTCTAAATAATCTACGCAGTGCTTCGTGCACATATAGATGAGATTCGAGAAAACAAAGCAGCTTACTGTGAGCTCTTCTTTTTGCTATAAAAAACTAAATTGTTTGCCTAATCATCCCCACAAACCGTCGTCTAACCCTCATAAACTAAAAATTGATTAATAGTTGTCTCATACGATGCTTACTCCAACTGATATTTTTATTAAGGGGTCTGCCGTCAATTGATATTAGATTTTTTTTAAAACAACATTTGACAATTCGAATACGATACAATACTGGAGTTCTCAAGCTTGGAAAGAAAAAAGCTGTACTGAGATTTTTGGTCGTTGAATAAAAAAACTGGCTCAGTTAATTAAATAAATTATTTTTAAAAACGCCTTTGCATATACCTCTTTCGTTAGTTTTAAATCGTTGACCTTTCTTTCCTAACCGTCATAAAGTTTTGCTACTAATGCAAGCTTAAGCATATCATAAACCTGTTTGGCATGGATATCTGCTTGATGCGTTTGTCAAAAATCTTGGCAGCGCCACATGGTCCTCATTAAAGTCTGTAGGACCATTCTCTAGATTTCTTTAAAAAAAATTCTCTCTCTTACTATCATTCTCTCTCAAACTACAAAAATATTACCTACATTCTGTATAGCTAAACTGTGAAAAATATGGTCTCTCCAGAAGCGAGGATGATCTACAGATTATTCCTGAGTTTGTTTATTACATAATAATCTTGAATGAAGGATAAGGAAAGAACGGAATGTTGAAAAACATGTTCATACTCTTCACCCTTATTTCGGAGAATTAAGCGAACAACGACCAAAATTCTGCACGTACCCCAGTGACAGCAGTTAAAGAAACAGGCAAAATTTCACTCGTTCCTACTAAGCAAAATGCATCCTTCATGACCAAATTAATCATACCAATACAATTTATACATGTTTAAGATCTTCTTAACAGTGCGTTTAAGGGAACATTGGGAACTACGCACTTGATAACCTCTGTTAGGGTTTGGGAGTAGATTCCATTAGTCCTACCTCCAATCACAAAATGTTATTAGGTTCTTTATATATTACCCAACAAGTAGGATACATGTGATACGGTTAGAATTAACGTTAGAAGAATAAATAAATAAACAGCAAGTATTGTTACAGAAACCCGTAGCACAGTTGTAAATGAGTGGGGGCAAGGCAAAAAGATGCAAATCTCACAAAGGGTTAGCTATATTGCTATGCTGTTGTTGATATACCTTGTTTAGCTATTTAAGCCACTTCTATTATTAATATAAACTGCTAGTTATTCATGTGTTGACATGATCTAAAGGGCAATTCTGTTCGTACGAAACATTATAAGTTTCATTATATTATGTACTTAGGTGCTAGGATATCCTAAAATAAGTAGGAACAAAAGGAATTGTCTTATAAAAAAATTATTTACTAAATCGCAATTTTTTTTTTTCTCAAACTAATACACCTGTAGCCAGTTCACAGAAAAAGCTGATACCACGGTCAAAAATGCCTAGAAACTATAGAGATATATTTCAGCGTTAAGAGTCTTGAGAAATTTGTGTTCAATTACTCTGCGGAATTTTTAATTTATTCAAGCACTTATATTTTCTAAAAGGTTTGTATATCTTTATAATGAGTACGGGCTTTATTAACAATTTAACAATTTTGACTTAATTTATTTTTTCGATCGGCTCACGCTTATCGGTAACAGAGCTACAAGATATGTTTAGGAAGGACCTGCTCATGGCTTTGCTTTAGATACGCGTCTTCCTGTATTGTGGGGTCAATAATGATTGTACATAGACAATAACTGTTTTAATATCAAATATATTTATTAAAAGAAATTCCTGCCGCTTAATTGGCTAAAGATTCGAGGAAAAACGATTCATAGTTTTTGGCTTGTTTTGTACATATGATGGATTCAATTCAGTAGCTAAAGTTTTAAACCTTTTTGATACATTAATTAATATGAAAAACATAATCAAGTTCAAAACATAACTGGCCATGTTCTGCAAATAGCGACTTATTAGAAATATTAGAAATAAGGTCAAATCCATCAGTCTTCAATTACGTTCACTGGCTTTTACTGGTATGGCGAATTACCGTTTGTAGTCGCTATACTGTCCAAAAATATATAACTGAATCAGGTGAGGCTTCTACATCATATTCAGTTTCTAATTTCTAATACATATTTTCAAGCAAGGTGTAGTTATCGTGCTTGGGCAATCCTACAAGAAAAAAAATCGGTGCACAGGTGACTTACTTGCTCAGAGAGGTACGTATTGTATATATGCTGAGCTGCTTCACGCAAGCTCTGAACTGATCCCTCTAAACGTGTTCCTGATGGAATATCCCGCCCTCCAGGAGCCACTTGTTCTGCTGAAGTCTTAAAACCCTCAACATGTAAATGGAACATGATCAGGTTTTGAGCTCCAACAGATGTCATAAATTCTGTAACAAGTAAAGACATTCACTGCTGATGTCTGTACTGGTATTAATTGGTATAGGTACACTTAAGTAATTAGTTGAAAATAGCAAGCCCGTGTATGGGCAGTTTTGAATTAAAGTATAACCTTTAAAAATCTTAAACTTTTTACAAGTAAATTCGTCTATTCATCGTACAACTACTTCGGTAAACAAAAAGATCAGATGCCAGAGCTCATAATTCACTTCTACCGAATTAATACTCAGCAATCCAATGCGTTACAATATGATTTAGAATTTGCTCATTCGAGGGTCGTCTTAGGTACAATTACATATTGTAAAATTGATTATCTGTGATATGTAAACATGAAGTTACTATATGAACTCCACAGAACTATGATTTCCCTTTGAAACCGAAAGAGCACCTAGAATCTAATATATCTCTGTAATCGGCTGTGTGTTACTTTGTAGTAGGTAGTAGTAAGAAAAAAGCGATTCGGCAAATCATGTCTGACACCGGTTGTTTTTCAATTCCGACGACATTTTTTCCATTAGGAAAGTCATCAAGTAAAATGTGCATCGAGCTTAGATGAACAGTTACGGTTACCTTGTTGTACCTTGTCTCAAGTTTTGTCATTTCTTAGCATTATATAATTTTTTTTGTGCGGTAATCTCAGCTCGAGTAGATGAGACATTACAATACTACGACGGGCAGAAGAATGTGGTCTTTAAGCCTAGCCTTTTTGAGTTTTTTAAGCGCTGATATTTCAGCTCAATGCTACCACAATGTGTAACCTGCTGTAAGAATCATTTTCAAATATAGTACGTAAAAAGAACGTAATGATATAAACATTAGAAGGTATGGCAGTGAAGTAAACAAATAATAACTTGCTTCACGCTCTTTGAACGGTTACTCATTGATTAGCAGTTGCAATTTGTACTGCTTGATTCCCTATTTCTTTACCTTTTGGTTAGGTCTCTAAAAGGAATTAGAAGTTGTAAATGAATGAAAACATAAGTCCAATACACATGTTTCGATTTTTCGAGGTATTTACGATATTTACATAGCACGAAACGAGATATCTGTACACCTATATATAACAACAGGTGTTTTATTTTTTGGGATTTTGCCTTAATCAATTCAAATTCTTATTTTAGATAACAGTGTTTAACGCTAAAGAAGATGCTTATTTTTTAATATATATGGGTAATGAAAAATTTAGTAGAATGTAACATCAATAAGATTAGTAAACGACGCAACTGAGCTCTTTCAGAGTAACGCTTTATCCGTTTCTTCGTCATTAGGTGTGCGTGACAGCATTTTGATGGATTATTATATGAAAAAATGTGGTAACCAAAAAATGCGTTACTCTGCGTGTCCTTTGATCCCTTACCGATGAAATATGAAAGTGCAATGTTATTGCAAAGGATATCGTCGAACGAAAGATTGCATAGCTCGTTCGCCATGAGCTTTTTCAGATCGGCTGGACACGGAAGACCACTGGAATCTGCATCAAACGTGCCATCTTCTAGCCGTTGGATACGCTCTGCAAAATTAATGTGTACCAGCTTTTATGACGAATACCCTGGTTTGAATTTCTGATTTGTGACTTTTATATATATTTTTTTAGACCATTTGTATAAAGGAAAATCTGTCAAGAAGCAATTTGATCTAGAATTTGTTAGAACATAATCTTGTTAGGCATTTTTATATAACATTTGACTGAGTTGATTAAATGTAAAGTTCAATTTTAGATAACGAATACCTACTGTTTCAACAGGTTATATAATTTTTCATATACCAAGCTTAAGGAGTACCTACTTGTGATAATTTCATCAACGTAGAACAGCGATTTGAGCTGCTGTTTTACTTGCTCGTCTTGCTCACCGCCGGTATCTCGACTGCGTTGAACAGCGATCTCATGCCTGACAATCTGTTGAGTAGCGACTAGTTCATCCAGGCTATCAGTGCAACGAAGTACAGCTAAGAAATCTTCTGAGGGAACGACAGCTTCCTTATTCTGTTTCATCCAAACCAAATTTTGAAAATATGAACTCTTGTATTTGATATCCGATGGACGAAGAATAAACATCGTTAAAAAGTTGATTTATGATACTCGTCAGTCATTGACATCATTATCTGAAGATTGCAAACTGTATGCGAAGCGGGTGTAGTACTTTTAAACTTAAAACTTTTTAATTCTAAAGGTGACGCGTACTGTTGAAATGAGAAAGCCTATAGCGAAAGTACCTTTTTTTATTTTAACATGATAAAGTTCTCCCATCGACAAAATAAATAGATTTGACACATCTTTGAAGTGATACAAAATGATTCTGTATCTACTATGTGCCACTTGCTTTGGCTGGAAATTATGTAATGTTCACGATGTAGTAATAGATCATTGGAGACTGTCTCTGTAATAACGCAGTAACATGGTGGTCTAAATTTGAAATCGTGCGTTAATACAGTTTGTTTGGTACTGAAAAGGTCTAACCGCCTGAATCAATGCTTAATGGGAACACTTCTATAAAGTGTTTATATAAAGAACCGAAACTTTTAGTTAATCTAACTAAAACTTTCGGTTCAGCCAAAACTTCAACTTCAAAAAAAAAACAAAAAGTTCGGGTTCGGCCAAAGGGTTCCTGCACATAATCTATGTGCAGGAACCCTTTGGCTGCGCTAACAATAATTAAAGGTACGAGTAATATGAACAGGATATTGTATATAAACGGCGTTGTTTTATTTGAAAGTGATCATTGTGTTTTGGCTATTATAAAAAAGTTGGAGCTTTTGCCCTCAGATTGAACAGAACTGAGTTGAGCTACAAAAACGGCAAACATCATTTTGAAAACTGCCGTCAGATTGAACAGAACTGAGCTGTGCTACAAAAATGGCAAATATTATTTTGAAAACAGGAACCCCGCTTGTCGTAATTATACCCATTAGTTTTCACAAATAAGTACCAATCATAAGACTCTTTGACAGTCATGCTAAAGTCAGGTAAGTCTATTTTATCTACCCCTTTTGCTAGAATTCATTCAGTGTAACTAACCCATCGGTTGCAGCGGCATACGAAATCCTCGGTGTCAGTACTTCCCGGGATTTATTATAGATAGCAATTTCATTTATCAAGGTATTTATAGTAATCTCGACATTTGTCATTTCGAAATGTAGGAGGACAGGTAAAATCTCAAATGTTCATATTTAAATGTGGTCTGACATTTCAACTTTAAACTTATGACGGTTTTTTAAGACAGATGTAAATCTGCCTTCACCGTTTATGCCACATATGTCAATGTAGGTGGATCGTGTTTTATACGCAATACGCTTAACAAGATGTAAAAAGCCCTCTCAGGGTCTTTTATAGCTTTACTGAGCTCTTTCAATCCAAATTTTACCAGTACGAAAGCTATGTGCATTGTAGAAGCGAAATATAGCTAAGAATTTCTTTTAATATGCTTACTTCTCGACGATTTAAATCGTCCGTTAATATTGGTCTCAAAAAAATCGACTCTGAAACCCAGCAGCGTTAGAGTCGCATATCTCATGCTTAAGCATAGTCAAACAAGGCTTGATTATATCGACATCTGTTGTCACGAATCTTGGTATCAAAAATTCTATCATATTTCTATTAAGTTACCAAAAATTAAAAAAGATGGTTACTCATAAGAGTACATTTGTACAACAAGTTCATTCAGAAATGGAATTCGTTATTGTCAAAATATATGCAACTATATATTGAAATGTAGGAAAGGAAATTAATAATTAAAAGCATTTCCCAAAAATTTCGAAATGGATACTGGCACACCAACTGCAAATTTTCGAAAGTGAAGAGATCTTCAGAGGTCGACTATGTAGCAAATATCTATTCTCATACTTCACCCTACGTACATCCTTTTCATCGCCTTTGTAGATGCCCTTATTGCGTTGACGTACCATCCATACAATAGTCTGATTAATGTAATCGGGATCGGTGATCATATCTATTACTGGTAATAAGACGATGTTGGCTATTAGCTCACGAAGGAATGCACGAGTCACATGATTTTGGAAGTCAGCAGGGGGAAGCAGAAGGTACAGTAGCACTTCTGATACTTGTTGAAGGTACTCTGAAAAAGAGTAAACAAACGATCACCATCAAACAAGTAGCAACAGTCCTAACTAAAACATTTGTAAAATCTGTAGGTCATATAGTATCACGAATCAGATCAACCATCCGGCTTCCTTTGAAACCAAACAATCGTACTCGATTGCTAATCACTACAGATTCTACAGATTATTTTAAGCAAATGTTGCCTCCAACTCCAAGTCGCGCAAACCAGAAGTACAATGACTTACTGCAACATAAGGTGCTTTTGAACAGGTCGCCTCAAAAGCGGATATGAGACTTTCTAAAAGTCATTCTACGGTATAGCTGTTGGTAATCCTTCAAAAAAAATCACTAATGCCTTTGTCATTCAAAAAAGATTATATCAATATCTTATGCGGAAGAAATTACGCGGAATTTATTTGTCATGAATATCCGTATATGATTATCAATGTTAGTGTGACTTGTTATATATACTAATTCTAGCTTCATAACAATTCTTTTACTTTCAAGCTTGCATGCTCCTGACATAATTTTTTACCTCATACATATATAGGTATATGATGCTCGTACATATATGAGTGCTTTCAGTGAAATTCAATTTAACGAAAACAAATATAATTTTCATGAGTTCTTTTGGTTTATGTACGAAACACAATCCTAGGTAAATAGCTTCAAACTTTACGAGCATGAAGGAAACCAATATTTAAAAGTTTAAAATCCGCCTATTCACGAAATTGGTGTCAAGCAGAATAGCTGTCGCGACCCGTATGACCAGAAGCGTACCCTACTAAAACCAAACAGTATCATTCGTATGCGAAGCAGCCAGTTAAGGCCACACGAAGCTCTCCAGCATACTTCAGCGACGGTCAGTCGATTAACGGCACCGGTTAATAGATACCGTTTTCTATGGTATAATGTCTTCTTCGCTGCAATTTGCTCTATGACCGATATAGGCTTACACTCTTCGAATACAGTGTTTGTAGCATAAAAATAGCTGCTATTGTATACAAAATGCTTCAATAATTATAGCCAATAAGTGTTTTTAAGGTAATACAATTTACGTATGTAGTGTCAATCGAATAAGGAAATGCGTCCCTGGTAGTGGACTAGCCGGCATGTTCAGATGAAGCCAGTAATACCGTTTACAGAAAGGGATCGACTACAAAGAAGGTGCTAACGACCTCAATGGAAAAAAACAAACACATGCTTGATACAGCATCAAGTAGAATTTCGATTTAATTTTCGGAAATGGGGGATGTACGATTTGTTAGTATCGATTTAAGCGGAAAATGGTTCATTAGAATGTATGTTTTCCTTTTTATAACTTCATAATTTGATAACCTAAACTTCAACGGCTTTGATAAACTGAACTTCAACGGCTTACTTCAAGCAGGCAAGTATCAAATGACACTGAAAAATTTCGAAATTTACCGAAGTGGTGCCTGGTCAGATGCTTTAATCATAAGGAAGCTTTACGTTTGAATTATTATTTTGAATTGAATTTTCTTTTCTTAATATGACCAATAGCTGTACTGTTTGGAATAAGTATAAAGTACAGTAACTAGCAAAAGGCAAAAACAAAAGATCCTCGATGATTTTGATTATTTCGCTGTACTCACGGATCTCTCGTTCTTTAGAAATGCAAACAAGGTCTCGACAAAGCTCACGTTCCATGGCCGTCTCCATTCTGAAGAAGGTATGCAGGAGATGATCAGCGTTAGCTCTTCCATTCGAATAGCTCGATTCCTGGTGCGGACGTCTCTGCACCTAAACACCAAGTTCCAATTGGCCAATTAGTTCGTAATTTATTCCTTTTCAAACATGACAAATGTTAGCCTACGAACGAATGTGCACTTCGGAAATAATAAGCAGAAATAAGAAAGAAAAAGAAATAAACATTTATTATAGTTTTTATTCAGTAGTGCCCCGACATAGTGTGAAAAGCTTAATAGAGCGGAGAAGCCTGAACGAACTTTGAAAAGTGAAAACTGAAATTGCAAAAGTGGTGCTTAGACAAGCATGCGATTATACCGAACATACTAGGTTGAGACATCGAATTTGGTGTTCGATTATTTAAATCACCGTAAAGTTAACCTAGCCGCAATTCACCTAATTTACGAGAAATCACGGAAAACGGGTGTACTTAATGTAGAATGTATAAATGCTGCTCAGACCATTTTTTTTTTCAAATATTCACGCTGCTGTAGGGGCAACCCGTGATCATCGATACTACGCAGATTAGTGCCAGTCACTATACATCCTTTCATATATAAGCTTTAACTTCAACTAAGGGTTTAAAAGTACAAAACATTATTATGAACCTTTGCCTGAGCCTGTCGGAATAACCGCAGATGGGATGCAAAGTCGTCTACCAGATTTACTGTCAAGTAATTTACCTGTAAAGTAAACAAGATATGTAGCTTCCACTGGTTATACAGCACTCAACAATTTTGCACGATTGGAAATAAAATTACGATATTTTTTTGTTACAAAAATGTTTATTATTGTTAGTATGTGCTTGTAAAAAGCTATTAGAATTAATATCTGATAAAAAATTAATACTTCTTTCATTTGTTTTCTCCGTCGGTTGTTACTGATATTAAATACAAAATAAACTAATTTACCTCATTAGCAAATTTGCAAGTATAAAGCCTCATCAATTTGCGTATACCTAACTAGAATAGACGTTAAGTGCCTGGCTGCTCCATCTTATGGGTAAGAGAGAATACCTTTTGGAGCCGAATCCAAATATTTCTGCGCAGTTCTAACAAAAAATCCTTGAGAGTCATGTTAGACAGGCAGACAAATCGCATTTCAAAAATAAATAAAAATAAATGAAGGTAAGAAAAAGACACTTTTTGTTAAGTTGTGCATTAGCGTACTTAACTTGCAAAAATTACTAAATAGACAATGATATTAAAATTAAAAAAAGGGAGATTCCTGCACAAAAATGCGTATTACATTCGGATTTGCGGTTTGCTAAACAAGACTTTTAAAAAGTTTTTAAGGGGATCACTTATATCTTTAGTTTGGCGTTTTAATGATTTAAATAATACTGCTCAGATAAGCTGTCGTAAAGTTGGCTCAGATCATCGTGGAGACCCGATTTTTTTGCAAAGTGTGGTCGCAAAGCTGCTTAATAGGTTAGTATTTTCAATAACTCTGAAGCTATGTATCTCTAATACTGGGGAAGTAAAGCAGAAAACGTTTTGAGAGCAACTACAACAATTCATACAAGCATGAGCTACTGAACAAGGAACCTTCCAATGCATATGATTAAGCTTGTGTATACAAACGTCCATACCAACAACATTTTTTTGAGACCAAAACCCCAGAACCATAAGAGGGTAAACTAAGGTATAAGTGAAGAAAGTAAACTAAAACATCAAATATGAGTGATGCGAAAATATTCGCCACACAGTCCTGTACAACCATAGTATGTCAAAAAGATTGATTCAGATTTGGAAGCTTGCAGTACCATTCAGTTAAGAATTCATTATCGTGGTCATCATTGTCATCACATTATCGTGGTCTTAAGTTTCAGGACTGTTTCATGAATAGCTTAGAACCTCTAGCCCTTATTTTTGCCTATTTGGATTGTGTTGCTGAAGTCTGACGCCAGCTACTACACTTATAATTCGTGTACATAGCATTAGTTTATCAGTATTGACTCTAAATTCAACCGAAAAATTTCGGCAAGCGGGCTGCTATTTCTAATACCCACTACATATTTTTTAATCGTTAACACGAGAATCTCATGGTCTAAGAAGTGAAAAGAACTTTGTGTCCAATAAAGAGTCCTGCTTTGTGTTAATTATTCTCCTTGTTGCCCAAAAAAAATTAAATAAGCAAGGGATGCTTTGTGATTGTGTCGGTACGTTACCATCTATAGCGAAAAGGCATACTTTAAACTGTTAAATAAACCTAAGTTAAAATATCCTTGGTGGAACGATAATGTAGTAGCCCATCACTTTACTAAAAACCGAAAATCTTGGCGGCTGCTGGTCCATATCATGGTAATTCGAGCTCTAAAATCAAGAGATAGCATTCCACTGCGTGCTTCTAATTGTTTAAGTAAAATATTTTTTAAGAAGGATGTACTGCCAGAGGTACTTGCATCAATAAAGTTACGCAATATTATTAACTCGTGTAAAAAATGTGTGGTAAATATTTTTACTGTCGTACGTTATACCTTTTAACTTCGCAGGGTATCACACCTAACTCTTTTCTCTCTCTAGCCCGCAGATTTTTTGCTACTTTCTGCAGTACTTGTAAGGCAGTCAAAAGTAGGTCATTCATCGGCGTTTGAACGACTGTAGAGAAATCCACAATGACAACCTTATCCCTTCAAATTATATTTGTAATTACTTTGTGGCTTAATCTTAAATACTTTTTAATCCCTTCTTGAAACCCATATATAAAACCCCTTTTAGGGCAAGATTTGAATAATATATGACCTGAACCATCTCTATAAACGCTTATGAGAAGGTTAAGTGCCTGTTAAATGTTATTTTAAAATAAAGGTCTGAAATAAAACCATTATGGTGATTGGGCAACATGTATAAGAATCCTGTGACCATCCTTAAAACAGGCGCCAATAAAGATTTCCATATAAGGCTTATTATTGATGAAAAGCTTCCATTAAGCAGGACTTCATAACTTCTCCACATGCTAAAGCTTCAATGGCTAACACTTTCATTTATGCGATTATATTCAACCAAATCTGAGCCAACAAGTATATGACACGACAATTTTAAACCTGATAAAATCACCGTATATTTGAAAAATTATTCGTTGAAAGACCCAAAAAAGTAGCTTGAATCTGTCCAGTTTGGACAAAGCGAAAGAGCAAGGTTGGGTCCTCATAGCGAATATTATTATTATTATTTCTGTCGTTTTAGAGTGTTTTAAATAACTGCAAGAGAAAAAAAATTGTGTAATATGCAAGCACAGTATCGCTTGTTGCTTGAGAAATGAAATCTGATTCACTAGAAGCGAGTAAAAGTTGTATTGTTTCCTTACATAACTGACAACTTCTTTTTGATTCCTGGAAAAAAATGTATCCTTTTCTCTATTCTTTAAATGATAAAAATAACTATTTTGAAAGAGTTAATTGTTTAGGTGTTAGTGACAATAGAATCTTCATACGTAATATTTCTGTAAAAATATGAAACAACTAGCACATTATTGAAAAGGTATGATCTACAACCTATCTCATCTGATATTATTAATTTCATTGATGTTGCAAAATATGATCTTTATTCGCCATTACTTTGATTATTGCAATCGAATCATACCCAATCAACTTCTTTAGCCTTGTTTGACAGGTTAACGACAACTTCATGAAAGAGGTCCTTAATGTGAGCCAAGAAAGATTCATCAGTAGACAGACGAGAATACCATGGGAGTACGTAGTCCCGAAAGAGGAGTTGCAGAACGTCAGACAACGATTCGTCTATGACGGAGTGTCCTGTCAGGTAACGCTCGCGACGCGGTTTGCGTGAAGGGGATAAAACAGACCTGAACGATAAAGATAGAACGATAATAGTAATATAAATAACAAAGGAAAGTTTATTTTAGCTAAATACTGCATGCATAAAAATACCAGAAAAATGTGAGAAGAATGAAACACTACTAGAATAAAACACACAAGGATAAATACTTAAGTCTCAGTATTCCTATTTATTTCCAGTACTAACTCCATTTTCTCCATTCTGATTTTTCATGTCTTCATGTCACGCCGATAGTTTGAGTTGTTAGTCTTTGATCGTTTCTTGATTGAGCGTCGTTTTATATTTTTTAAAAAAAAATATGGTGTTCTAGTAAAGCAATTTGCAAAAGACTGTAAAGATTAAAAATTAAAAAAGATAGTTCGCTTTATTTTTACAACTACGTACGGCATTCAACTTGCAAAAGCACTGGTTAAAAGATAATATATCTTTTATATAATCCTTTAGTAGCAAAATATTTAATGACAATCGCATACTTGACATTTCTAAAACAAATGGCACCGTTGTTGAGAGTACACGTAGGATATCGGGCTGTCTTTAAACAGCAAGGTAATATGCTAGCTCACATAATAAATAATTACTTATAATTTAGGATTGAGAGAGAAAACTATCTAAAAAACTAAATAATTACCTTGTGATATGTGGTATTCCTTGAAAGGGTATATTTGAGTCCGAGATAGTTACTTCAGTTTCCGCACCAGATCTAAGAGCGGCCGTCAAAGGATCGGATTCCGTTTTTCCTTCTACAATTTCTATCATATAACTAAAAGAAGTCAGACTGGAAGAAAACAAATTTTTCACAAACAAAAAACAAAAGACCAGTTTTCTAATATATCATGACAACACACATGGGCAATCCAAAATGTTTATCATAACATACCCAGTTCATTGATATGTGATTACTTATACTATTTAGATCTATTTAATGCAACTTATGTTAAACGGAATATGAGTAAATTAGCTAGAGCTATCCATCTGTCGCACGTTTGTGTGAAATACGCGTAGTGGACAACTTACCCAGCAATCAAGCTAAGGGCCGCAAGGGGCAACAGTAGTGTTAGGAAGTAAGAGCCATGACAGAGCCAAAGCACAGCAACCGAGCCTGCCAGCCAGGAAACAACTGCCGTCTCGACACTCATCTGATTTATTTAAGAAACAACAGCAAAAGATAAAATATAACCAAAAGTATGCAAGAAAAAACATGGTTATAACAGACGGAACCAATAACTGATACACATGAAAGCGCGTAGATTCATAGCAGCGGAAAATGGAAAAAACGCGCTTATGTTAACAGTCAGATACGCAGCTGTATTAATAGTATTGAATACCAATAAGATAAAGAAAAATATGAAATTTAGCATTTAAACAGGAGTTTCGCCATGCAATATGTTTAAACGTATATCATAATTTATAAAGCAGAAAATTAAGGTAACAAGTTTCTTGGCCAGAACAAGCCTGAGACTTATGAGCGAAAAATGAGAGAATCAAGTCTCAGAAATATTAAATTCCAAGCAATCTGCGTAAGAATGAATGCTGATGTTAGAGGTGCGTGAAGTATCTGTGGAAATGATTCAAATGAAAGGCATAATCTGAGTCGATATTATGTGAATATTGTGACAAAACGAATAATAGTACTAAAAATTTCGTACATGAAGGAGTTTTGTGCCATGACTCAAGTAGCATCACTACCTGGCTCTAAAATAAAAATGAAAGTAAACAAAATGCGGGAAAGTAAACGCAACGAAGTCCAGGTTAACATTATGGAGAAATAAAAATCGTTTTCATCGCTCGAGTAAGCTTTTAGCGGAAATATTGGAGTAAAAATATGCCTACTGTAAAAAAACGAAATTAAACAATCATATGTACTGTAAACAAATAGTTCAGACAACGATAATTCTAGTTATCATGGTGGCGTAAATAATATTTTGTTTATACAATGATTCTCATTCGTTCTTCAGTGATTGTATCAGTGATTATAAACAACAATGACAATGATTTACTGCAATAGAAATACGCCAGAAAACTTAATTACTGATTTTTCCCAACTTCAAACGTATGAACACACACTCTATTACAAATATTATTAACCTTGTTACATTAAGCTTTTAAAAGTTGTGTACGTTCCTGGATATACAAAAAGACTTAGAGTCATTTGGAAACAATAAAATTATGTAGAATTTCATACGAAATTCCGAAACTTTCATTATACAGCACCGAATTATCGTATTGCAAATCCTGTTCGCTAAATAAACAACGTTGGCGGTATGGCTAGTAAAGTCGAAATTTGAACTCGAAAAAAGTTCACAGAAAATGTCGATTGTACAAATTGTTTATCAATTAGGCGTGAAAAAACCATTCGAGGTAACGACTGTGTACAATAAATCATCACCAATATTTCTAAGCTCACTACGATAATAATAGTTATAATAATAATAAGACAGACTTCTGGTACGGAATTTAATTATTGTCGATGTTTGCACTACAGGTTATACACCAGATCAAATTTGATTCACTTTTGCTGTTAATACTACCGGCATACTACTTGCCGGTTACATAGTGTGGCTATGACAGAAATGAGTCATACAGTCCGGCAGCTGAAATGCACAGCTAATTGAAATCTGTTTTGAAAATTCAGGCATACAGGCAAGGTCGCGCTTCCGTTAAATGAAGTTCTGTGAAATAAGCCCTGAGCCACGATAAACATCTTTTAAGACGATGCGTTGCTTACATAATGTAATGCAAACATGATTAATAGTTGTCATATAAAAGAAGACTGGGTGATTAAATAGGAATAATTATATTAAAAAAATATTATATATTATGATCAGTCGAGGACCACTTTTTAAAAGGAAACTGACATAGGTATCTACTTAGGTTTTGTAAAATAATCGATTAGTTTGCTTTTATTTGACATGAACAATATTACTGAATATAACTATATCTATCATGAAACGCAAAAATATTGCATTTGATTAAACCTAAATATACAAAGATTTTGTACAATATCAACAACTGATACAAACTATTACCATCTTAGCTAGTAATATTAGGAATAAAGCTCCTGTTATTGATCTTAATTATTGGTTGTCAAGCGAAAGTCATACGAAAGATTTTTTCTGAATAGTTATAAGCGTAGTTTAACCGCATAAAGGGAGATGAAGGTCAACCCATCTCACTACTATAGTGCTAGAGGAAAAATGCTTCACGAGATCTAACATTACTAAAGATTTAAATTGGTGGTTGGCATATTTAGGCTGCGGACGTCAACACTATGATTGTTCCATAACGCATATCGCGGATGCAAAATGCATTTCGTCCGATATTTTTATGACAAAGGGCCAATAAGATCGACCAAGCAAACACTTGATAAATTGATTGTGAGTATTGTTATTATTATAAGATATTGATAAAAATAATGTACCCTTCCGTAGCTTCTTCTAAATTAATAAAAATAATGTACTCTTCCGTAGCTTCTTTCAAAAATCTGAATGTATAGCAAGGGAAGCATGAGGAACTTTTGACACCTTAAAGATTTTCTAAGCTTTTTCCTCATAATAGGTAACTTGCCAATTAATTTAAAAGCATGTACACGTAGTATAGATACGTCGTTTCTCACAAATGGTCCCAATGGAGACTTTTTGGGAAGTTACTTTGTTTTTAACTTCAAACGGTAAATGGCTAACCATAACAAAAACCCTTCTATATCCCACACAATGCATTTCGTGGGGCTTCATATCATCGCCATTTTGTGTATACCAACTAGGCAAAGTTCCTTTCAATCACTTATGTCAGAAAAATTAATCAGCATACTATGCTTCCTCACCATTGATTGCGACGGTTCCTTCCTGCTTTATCAGACTTCAGTGTATCCACAAATCATCGTAGCAAGAGCTACGAGAGGTGGAAAGGTGGACATTCAGATATATCTCTTGCATATTTTGATAGGCAGTCATCGATACACTACAATCAATCACAAGTATTCTCACCAGCGAATGGTAATAGTAGCAATAGAGGCACTCACAGTAATATCATTTGGGGATATACATTCCTATTGGAGGAGGCAGCCATATTTGTTTTCTTTGACGCCACTGTTTTGGCAGGTTAAAGGCTGTCCTGTGGCATTTCGGGCGATTGGAGCACGCACACCCAATATATATAGAAACGGCTTAGTCGTACAATAAATTGACAGGATAGTCGGGAAGTAACGTTTTCGATTAGTTTTGAACATAATAGCTGCTGAAAGATATTACTCTTAGTCGTTTTGTGGGTTTTATTATTTATTAAAAAATGTACTATCTACAAATGCTTTCTGTAATTGTTAAACCTGTTAAATTGATCAGCTGAATTATATATCGGTTCTCTCCTCCAGGACGAAAGGACTTCTGATAGGTTTATAAGACACACACGATTTGACCACACATGTGACACATTGCTACGATGCTTGTAATTATGTTTATTAATATCGGAATTAATGACAACGTTATTAATTATAATCGGTTATAGGGGATTGCAAAAACAGCTCGCAAGGCTACATTAGGAATTCTGAAATATTAAAACAAACCACATACATCTTCTTCTTTTTTTTTTTTACAAAAACTTCACATGATGTCCGAAATAAGTGTCTGAAATTATTCCCAAAGGTCCCGAAAATCTTGATTTGAGGTAAATTCCGACAGAAAAACCTTCGTGACGTTGCATCAAAGAAGCTAAAATTGAGCAATGCCTAATGGACGACCTTGAATAAATTTTTTAAGAAGGTCTATACAATTTTTGTTTATTATCCCGCTTTTGTAATTTATCACTCATCGCTATATTTTGCTTAAAAGTGCTGTACGTTACGGCACCTAGAAAGACTTTTTTTGGATTGCGTGAAACAATAGCGTGGTTCTGAACTTGGCTCATGGCGTATGCACTCGCACGCTTCAGAGGATACTAACAATACGATTCGTCTCAGTTTGCATGTTGGTTACACGTTTATATGAATTCATGATGACGACGAATAGTTGAGGTGTGATCACAGCAATTTTAAAAAATAGCTCCAATTTGACTTTTTCAACACGCTTTTTAGATACTAAGGTTGTTCTTGTTTGTGCTCATTACGAAAGACAATACCGTGCGCTCGTTTTTAAAATCCTCTATTTTGACGGAATACCTGTGGTTAAGCACTTCGAGCTTAATGGAGCTGAAAAAAATTGTTTATACTTCATGTAGCAATGATCTCTGTAATAGGTGATTATTCAACCTGTATGAACTTTTGTTGCTGCCTTTGAACATTTTGACGTTAATTAATATTAGGTATAGGCGATCGTACGCGAGTGCGCAATTTTCAATAATTGCGGAGCGTGAATTCTCGCGAATGTAATGATTCTCAGTGTGTCAGTTGGCTGACGTTGGCGTAGCGACTAGTCAGCCAGCTAATAGAGCTGATCAAAACTTTTTTTTATTTTTTATATATAACTTTATAGCATTTATCTAGCTACATAAAGTCAACGGAGGATAATATTCGTACTCGCTATTGACGACGTTGGCGATGAAATATGATATTTCATCCACAGGTGCCAATGTTACGAAGCGTAAAATGAATTATATAGTGACAATCTGTCATTACTGTCACTAAAACGCTAAGGGCGGTACATACGCGATTATTAGTAAACTGCAAAAATCAATTGGTTACCTTCCATTCTGAAATGATTCTATTATTGTTTCTTCTTCATATGAAAGATAGCATAGGCTGGAGTGATTCTGTAAAACAGACGCAAATTCTACCCATCCTCCATCAACAGCTTAGTAGTAGTACTCTAAAACTTTTCTTTATAATTTTTTTAATTTAAATAATTTAAGTTAATGGTAAATCTGTCGGTCTTTTTATAAATCAAATTATGTAGATGGGACTTGATAGGCAATGCCAGAACGACAACACCACCAAGTCATCGTTCCAAAACAGTCGCTTTTTGGAGTATTCTGCATATTTAGTGATGACATGTTTATACTTGCAATTTATTGAAGCTCGATAAAGCCTTTTTTACAGCAAAAACGTCCGACACGCTAGGCGTGATCATAAATCCTAGCTCATCCATCAGCTGCTCGTGCCTGGTGAAACCTATACATTGTATGCAAATGTTCCTTAGGTAGTACATACATGTAACTAAAAGCAGATTTACCATGCGCTTTGAAAGCTGAAGGTCACTATCGTCTATGCGGTGTATGTAAACACATCCCTCGGCACGCCCGATTAAACGACGCGCTGCACATGGTAGCCAGCTTTTTCATTTACTTCAGCTTACACACAGTCACGTTTGGTTTAGATATTTTGACATATTAGACATTCGTTTTTAACATCGAGTTTTGCAAATTGGGCAAAGCACATCACAGCGCAAGTAATTATCCCTTTTTTTTTGCACTCAGTGGTTTACTCGTGGTGGGATTTGTGCGTTATTCACAGATTAGATTACAACAGTAAAAAAAAAGTATAACGGAAATGCACGATAGGGCTATATGTGATGCGTGGAACCAGCACACGTAAACTTATATTTCTTGGTTGATTTCTTAGTTGAGCTCATTTGTACCTTAGACTTTTCCAGCGGCAGTGCATTTAATTATATTTTCTGTTAGTTTGATGATACTTCACTAGTTATGTCTTGAAGATATTCATCTTCAAGACATAACTAGCGATTTCGTTTTTTTACCACCTTCCCTGAACGGCATGCGTGATTATAAATGCGGATTATCCTCCAATCAAGCACGAAGCAGGTCAGTTAACCTGGTTACGGGTAAAGTTATACCTAGTCGCCTAAAAACAATTTTATTTAAATATAATAACACTCCTGTAATACGTATGAAAGTTTATAAATATAGCAAGGTGAATAAAGAGTTTGCACGACCTCGACCTTGGAGTTATTCCCTTCTGTAACTGCGCCACTGAATTATCTGCCGATTGCTCAGATCTCACCTCTACTTTCTGGCACAAATGAGTAACTTTTTCGCAAGGAGATACGATACATGCCTTCTCACACACAGCGTAGTTATCCCAATTGCCAATTCGCCTTTCGAATATTGAACAGATTGTCACAATTAACATATAATAAATGCCACACAAATATCATACCCACACGCGACTGAACGCCGGTCATATAATGGAACAGCGGCGAACAAAGTGCTACCGCTTTTCTGTTCTAAAAAGTCATTAACCCGTCCTATGAAGCAGTGTATAAAATATCGGGCAGCTTGTCAAACGCAATCACTATGCCGTTAAAACATATGCATAAGATATCAAAGGTAAAATATACGGTAAAGGAGCGACAACAGAGTGTTCGGAACAGGTTCGGACAAACATATGTCAGTTGTTTACAGTATTTAAGCGCAAATTTTCCGATCAAAGTTCTCGCGCGTGCCAAGATGGAGTTTCCTTACAGACGCGTCCATTCGTTATAGCTGTCATTCGCTTCAATCCAGAGTCATTTTTAAAAGCTTTTTCTATAACTTTGAGAATAATGCGATATGGGCAAGACTCATTGAGGTGTGGCCTAAGTAAAGCATACATAAAATACCCGAAAATTTGGCTTTTCGTGCCATTTTTGAAACTGAGGGTCTTCCAATCTAGTAATTATTATGGATCTTTTTCTTCGCCCTTAGCATCCTTTAAGATGTCATTTGCATAACCACGTAAGTGGTAGCTCGATGACTCGTAAAAACCTAACAGGAAACGAAAAAAGGAACACTAATGCAATGCTTTTCTTTCAAATAATACTACTGAAAAGCTTAAATAATCGATATGGGCAACCTATGACTAGATCCCCCATGCGTGCTGCACTGTGCCGATACTTTTCCGGGATTATTATTTGATGTACGAGACGCATTATATTCTTCTCAAGCCTGAAAATAAATAACAGAGATGATACATATATGATATGGAACGACTTGCAGTCAGGCTTCTGACTTACGATGTCAACCCGGTACTTAGGAATTATAGCGAATCAAGCCTCCATAAGAGGTTTCCAGATCCACAAAAAGACTGAAATGGTAACAAAAGTACTAAGTACCCTACCCGTAATTCTGTAGAAGAAAAAGGAGCTATACAAGCTTTTAGCAACAATGGCCTGTTGACGCGTGGAAGCCTATCACGATAAAGAGGAAACGAAACAGTCGAACTTTAGAAAATTCAGAAGCTTCTTGTAATAAAGGTGGTGAATCAGACAATGTCAGAAATATACCGTAATCGTTTTGGCACGGCTGACACCGTGCCCAAGACTCGTCAAGGAAAAAACCATGTGGAAGAACCGGTAATTTAATTCTTGATTTAATAGTGCTTTGTATCTCCAATGGCTATTACTTGCCACGAATTCTCACAAAACTTTTCTGAAATGCCTGCACACGATAAGTAACCGTTTTGTGTGTGACACATGACACATGTGAGCATAGTTCGTGATATGACAGATCTTCCACTATTGGCTAGCCCTTGAGGTTCCTTGCACAGGAGACGACGATCCCAGAATGATGTATGAAACAGTGACAACTATTCGCCGGTGTAATTGAGAACAACTTTTTTTATAAACGTAAGCAACAGATCTGCTAGAAAAGATCATGGAGATAAATCGATCTTGAAGCGAAAAGGACGGCTATGAAAGCTCCAATTTAGGTGGTGAGTGAATTAAGTAACGGATGAAGTTTTAGCAAAAGATTAAGCTAATAAAACTCGGACAATCCGTAGGCTTGCGAAATCTATGTATGTCACTTTCAGACTGCTTTGGCTCAGAATGCGTAAACGTGTAAACATTTTATTAACTTAGAGGAGAGATGGTAACTACTCCGTAAACCAATTTAGCTTAAGTGAATCCTCAGTCCGAAGCATTAGTTTTAGGTTACTGATAAGAACGATGGGAAAAAAACTACAGACTAGCACCTAGACATAAATACAGTATTTGTACGACAACAAAAGTTAAATATGCATGACTGCATCCTGAACGACAACTACAATGGTCAGAACATGACATAACGATAAATTTACTTGCTATGTTTACGAAATGTGAATGTGATTGAAAATTTCGGTTTGTGTTCGCGAGGTGATCTTTTTACAGAGTATCGGCACATATGGTATTCAGTA